AACATCTAAATAACTTCTGACTGAGTTGAGCTAGCCTAGTGGTTCCAGTGATTGACTATAGGTTAAATTTGATGTAGAATTCAAATATGCAATAAAAAATCAATAATATAGTCTGTTATCAAGAGTGGATCATGACTTTATGCAATTTGGTACTTGAAACACATTTGGCACACTACAACGTGCTTCGTAGCTGTATGATGTCTGACCGCAGGGTTGTCCAGACCATCGTTGATTCATCTTGGTTTTTGGGAGAGGAACAATTGGGTCTGGCAGGTTGATTGGTTTATAAGTATCAAGGATTATAGGTCAAAGGGTTTAAGTAAATTTTGAGAAGGAATGTCGGAAAGTCCAAAGTAGGATGAGGCACGATAATGAATTTACAAAAAATTCTGCCCTTAATATTTATGGAACTAGAAAAAAAAATTGTAAGGACTCCGTCGAGTCCTTCACTGTCTGTAGGAAAAGGCACTAGACAAGGGGCTCAATAGCTCCTGAAGAAAGGATTCTTGTACCAAAGTGTGTTTTATTTCAGTCTAGACCGGAGAGAAAGATCTCTCATTAGTATCTACAAGTGAAGGAAAAGAAGGAAAGGAAATGAGAAGAGAAGGAAGGAAGACAGGGTACTCACCTAGACCGGAGAGAAAGATCTCTGCTGTCTAGGTGAAGGGGAAGTGTGAGACTAAATACAAGGCAGAACTAAGCTTATGTAATCTAGTGACATGTTTGTGTAAGTCATGAGGAGTAGGGCTTACAGCTCCACTCTCTCTTCCTTGCTCTTGCTCCCCTTCCGCTCTCTGCTCTCTTTGGGTATTTTTTTCCTATCACTCCCTTTTCCATTTCATTCTCTTCTTCCCTCTTCTTCCAAATAAGACCTAACTTGCTCCAAACCAACTCACTCCTCACTCAAAACCACAACCCACTCATCTCCTCAAATACAGACTGGTCACCAAAACACAAGCTGACTCTCTCAGCATTTGGCTATAAAAGCTGGTGTAAAGCTCAAAAGTGTTTGTGAAAACCTTTTGCTGAGTGTGGAAAGGGATGAATGAGGATACCTCTGCCTTTCCTGGATCACTAGACACTAGACAAGCCCACCAATCTCAGATTGGAAGGTTTAATAAAGTGATAGTGGAGTGTATCAAAAGATAACTGTGGCTTAACAGGTGGACAAAGGGTTTAAACCAGTTTTATATAGGTCTAAAAGGTTGATTTGAGAGTGAGAGAGTTAGTCTAGCTGATATTTCAATGGTAAGGGGATGGTATGTAATGGTGTGTAAGGGTAGGGGGTATGAAATAAGTCAAAACTAGTCACAGTTCAAACCATAACCATGTTCGCTATCGTCTATTCCTCAAGAAAATCATATAAGTAGTCTCGAACTGCAAACTTTTACATAGAAATATACGGATAAATAACTGAGCTCAGAACACCCATTTCTCACTGACAATTATTATAATGTGGCAGGACAGGACGGCGAGGAGAGTGAAAGACTGTCACATTGTTATTTGTTTAT